AAAATTTGAAAATCCCCATAAAAATATCCTTATCCAATATATACATGTACTTTATTAGTCAGTCTAAAATTTAATTTAAAAAACAGACTGAAACAGCAAGACATACCAACAGATTCTCTCTGATCTACATATTATTTTAAGAATGTTAGAGAAAGAGATCATTAACTTTAGCTCACAGATTCCCCCCTCCATACCTTTTAACTTATGGATTTTTTTAATCAAATGAGAATACTAGTAGACATGACATTGATGATGTTTTATACCAAAAAAAAAAAAAAGAGTGATGGAAAGGTATTAAATTAGAAATAAAGGATGCCTAGAAAATATGTGTTTACTTATAATAGAGATCATGAAGAGTGAGAGGAAAATAAAAAGAGAAATGTAAAAGATTTAAGCCAGTGTTCAAATTATGTAAACTTGAAATGCAGTCAAGAGATCATTATTGTTTTTGAGATAGAAAGGCCCAAGGTTCTGGGCAGGGGTTAACTTTGGAAGTGGCATTTTTACATCATTATATTGAAGAAGCATGAATAATTGAAATAGTCTACATGTACAATTCATTTGATAGTTATTGAAAGCATACTAAGTACCAAGCACTGGGTTGTGCACTAAGGATTTTTTTTAATGAATAAAATTCTAATACAGACCAGGTTCCCCCAGAAGCAGACTTTGAAACAATGATTTGAATGAAGGTGGTTTGCTTGTAAGGTGATCTCAGAAAGTACCAGTAGGATAGTGAAATAGGGAAAGGAATGAAGCCAATAATTGAGCCAATTATTGAGCAGATTATTGCTGTAGGCAATGAGAATTCGATCTTGATGAGTGAAGTCTGGGAGAGAGTGAAAACGCACCTTTTGATTGTCGCCCACAAGGGGTAATTATCTTGCATCTCTCATCCATCGTTAGCTGATTCATTTGCCGATTCCCTACAATAAGATTTTTACCACTCCACTAAAATCACTTTCTGTATGATCTTCAGGGAATTCCATGGTTAAAGCCCAATGGATATTTTTGGCACAGATTTTGGGGAGTCTGACTGCTTGTGTCCAAGTGTTGGTTCTACCACTCACTATCTGTATGACCTTAAGCTAATTCTTTACCATAGTCTCTATTTCTTAATCTGTTAGATGAGGAGAACAGCAACAACAACATAAACAATGATACCCATCTCTTACAATCATCACGATGATTAAGTGAGTTAATACACATAAAGAGCTTAAAAGAGTGCTTCAAGCAGTGTAGATATTCAAATAAATGTTAATTATTATGATTTTTGTTATCTCTTGTGACATCTATGGCATTTAAAAATGTTGACCTCTCTTGTGTTTTTGAAATTCTTTTCCATGTTTCTATAAACAATTTCTAAGTATTCTTTCCAACTCTCTAGCCATTCTTTCATCTTATTGGCTACTTTTGCTGTATTCTTTCCTTACGTGTTGTATTTTCTGGAACTCCATCTTTAACCCTTTGTTCTATTCAATCTATACATCATACCAATAAGAATACATTCACATTGATGGCTTCATATTTTACTACTCTGTACTAATTTCTAACTCTGGATTTCTCTCTCTCTTAAAATACACAGCTATGCCCTGGTACCTTCAGTCTATCCGACTACAATGATAGTCCTATACAGATGATCCTCAAAACCTCCCACTGAGTAGGTCCAAGATTAAACTCATCTTTTCCTTGGAACTACTCATCATGGATTCTTTGTGTAGATAGTGAATAATACCTTTATCTAACAGGCACCAATCAGAAACCAGGGAATTGGTCTTAGACTCCTTTGTTTCCCTAGTGCTTAGAATAATGTCTGTTATCTAGTAGATGGTAAATAAAATGGAGACTGGCAGTCTAGATGGATGGGTTGATCCGTAGGAGTACTTATAGGGGCAGATGGATTGTTGAGTGAGTCTTTAGCCTGTAAATTTATTTAGTTAAGTATTATCTGATGATCTGATGATCTGATGATCATGTACAATTGAAGGTCAAGGATGAGAAAGCACACTCTTAGTGGGATATACATCCCAATGAACCATTTTATCTTGCTACATTACACATACATGATCCTTTTGGAATAAAACTTTCATTGCTGTAATTGAACAAGGATTCAAATGGTATTTTTGTCTGAAATAATGGTCTAGTCTATGAAAGTTCTCTCTTTTTTCCACAATTAAGAAATATCTGCCCACGTAATAGGAAGAGCTACTTCTTTCTCATATCAAGTGATTTTAAAAATATGAGTTACGTCTACCCTATTGAAATGAACTATAGGATGTACAAAATATCCACTGGCATGAATGTTAATGTCTTACCATGTTTATTCAAGAAATACTAGGCATTGTAAAAATTTTGCTACCATAGTTTAATGTCACTAATTAAGGCTGGTTAAGGCAAAAGCAAATTAGAATCAAAGACTTTCTAAGGAAAGTCGGTTTTACTGTTTTCAAATATATATAGTATATAGCAATAGGCTAAGGAGGAAAAGGTGCCAACTATGCATAATAAAGTAACCTGCTATGAAAAGTTGAAAAAAATTGTTTGTAATAAGAATATCAGTTCTATGTTGTTCTATGATGATGAAAAAATATTTAAGAACACTTAAAGACATTTTTATTTATATTTTAAAGTTTTTGTAATAGCATTTACACTATTAATTTTGTAAACTAAAAGTTAAATAGAAGAATAACGAATAACTATAAATCTCAACTATAATAGGTGCTATACTGCCCAATGGGGGCAACAACAATAATGAAACAAATATACAAACAAAAAAGAATGGTGCTCAAAGAGAATAGGGAGAGTTTGACATTTAAACAGAGACTGACATGGTAATTGATGTTGGAATAAAATACGTTGAGTGGTTTTTAACACATAGCAAACACCCAAACAGAAATGAACCCGATAAAAATAATGAGTGCACTTATTTGATTTTACCTGTTTTAGGTACCAGATTCTTGATTTCATGTCACAGTCACTAATCTTGTCTATCTAGTCCTAATGCTTATTTACAAAATATCTCAAGTACTTCTTTAACTCATAGCTTCTCATAATTTTATGGAGGCAACAACAGGGTTAATTAAGGAAGCTGAAACTTACATCATGAAATAAGAAGCACACTTTTATAATACTGTGCTGCATATGTTTTATTTGTTCATCCATAGCCAGTCTTTACCCTTCTCTATCCTGCTCTCTGCTCTGGGAGGCTGATCTGTGTCATCATAGATCTCCCATGACCTCTGGCTTCCAGTTGGTTTAGCTACTGGGGAACCCTAGTAGGAAATTGAAGAGAACAGACAGAATGAGGTCCAGACATTTATTCTCCTAGTTCCCACCCTATGAAATTTCTTAGGCTGACTGTGTCCCTTAACAAAAAGGTTACTGGTCTTCTCAAGGTGGTTCCTCCTCATGATTCTTGGCTCGTGGCCACTTCTCCCTCCCTTGATTCCTTGGGCCTAGATGTAGTAACAGCTCCACTGCTACAAGGCCTAGTTCTTATATTATCTTTGGTGATTTTCCTACACCCTGATTAGGTTGTAACTTGTTTTTTGTTTGTTCATTTGTTTGTTTGTTTTGTAAATAAACCTCTCAAATTTTTCAGACCAGATCACGGAGGAACCTGCATATTAAACTAAGATATTCCAGAGGACAGTGAGGAGATATTGAAGGGTTTAAATGAGAGAGTGGGGCGATCAAATCTATATTTGTCATTATTCTGTCTAAAGTGTGGAGATTACATTGAAAGACAGAGAATTAGGGCAGGAGGACTATATAGAGCCTATTGCAGACATGTAGGCAAAAAATAATAGAGCTTTGCCCTAGCAAAATGTGGAAAGAGGGAAGATGTTCCATCCTATATTAGAGAAAGTAGTAACCAATTACATATGGTGTTCAGTGAGGCTTAGGAACTAGAATGTCGGTCAGGTTTCTTGCTTAAAGGATAAAGTAGATGGTGGCTTATTACTTGTTTTATATGACTTTACTTCTATTTTATGAAACCAGCTTAAAGAAAAAATGTTGTGGCCCTTAAAGAGAAAAAAAAAATAATGTGGTCATGTTTATTTTTAGAGTTCTAAAATGCAGTATTTCAGAGCATAATCTATAGGCCATCTCCATCTTTGACTCACAATGATACCAAAAAGTACCCTCGATATAAGCCTGTCATACAGAATATAATCGGCACGAATTCTTAGATATTGTTACAAGAAGTTTCCATAATGCCTGTCTGCTCTTGGGTTGCCCCAGAAGAAGACCCTAAGAAAAGATTTTGAGAGCAAGTGGTTTATTTAGGAGTTGAGGGACCTATCAGTAGAAGAGTGAAGAAGTGAGACAGATGAGGTAAGACAGCCACTAAAGGATAGTGCACTATCAGTCAGGTTACTGCGGGTCACTGGAGCTTTCTCCCACTGGAAGAACTCTGGAACTCTTGCAAAACACATGCCTCACAGTTATCTCCTCTAGCGTCTAGGGCTAGAATATTCATATTCCAAGGCCCACTGTCAGTCATTGTTCATAGGCTGCTCCTGGAAGGTGGGACAGGAAGAAGGGAAGCATCATTTCCCTGGTGTATGTAGTCTGCTACTTAGCTGGCAAAGCAAACTCTTTGTGGCTACACAAAGCCTTCAAGAAATGAAATGTCAGTGATGGCATTGGAAGTGAGGCTGTTGGGTAGTGAAATGACAAGGAGTTTGCGGGTATTCTTCTATAGTACTTTTCTAAAAGTTTGTTCATAATTGGCTCTAGGGATTGAGAATAGACAGTTAAATTTTTACATATACTATTGATGTTCTAGCTCATCTTGAGGAAGATAATTTAACAGAAACTCATTTTTGCCATTATAAAAAAAAGTAATAAATTCAGTTGTCCATCATCCTAGCTGTAACGCAGTGAACAATTTTTTAATAAGTAACACAGAATGTGAGGTAGTTGGATGTTAAATTTCAGATGTCTTCTCGAGACTGGCGTTGACTCCTACATGTTCATTTGTTCTTTTATTCCAGTTGAAAGAATTCAGAATCAATGGGATGAAGTACAGGAACACCTTCAGAACCGGAGGCAACAGTTAAACGAAATGTTAAAGGATTCAACCCAGTGGCTGGAAGCTAAGGAAGAAGCTGAGCAGGTCTTGGGACAGGCCAGAGCCAAGCTTGAGTCATGGAAGGAGGGTCCCTACACAATGGATGCAATCCAAAAGAAAATCACAGAAACTAAGGTTAGTATCAAAGATGTGTTTTGGAAATCAAATACTGGTTACACTGAATACAGTTATACCAAGGATTAAAATTTAATGATTTTTAATGTAAATATATTGAGAGAAAATTACATTTAAACTGAAATGAACAGTAGACTTTTCAAAGTAAAGTGGAGATTAGAGGAAAATTGATGGCTAATATAAATTTTGAAATTAATTTAGTTTAGTAATCTGGATATAATGGACTGGTTTTCACATTGCACCGTTTTTTAAGACCATATCAAAGTCGATGTGCATGTTTACGTAGTAGCATAAAGTCAATCAGATGGGTTTAATTTCTTCCTAGAAAAAATAGCA